ACGACAGGCCTCTGGTTACACAGCTCTCAGTTGCTGGGGGCCAGGCCTTGCAAACAGTCTCTACTTTACAGTCCTGCTTTTTCACACAGCTGGAATGAGCCACTCATTTAATGAATAAGGAGACACTCTAGGCAGAGCGCGTCGCAGAATACATACAGCATCTCTTCCTTGCTGGCGTGGGAGCGGGAGCTGGCAGGCGCTGGTGGAGAAGGACACGCTCAGCGGCACGGTCAGCTCCAGACAACAAGGGCGTCATTCTCTGCCCCGCTGGCCGCTAACCGGCAGCTTCGAGTCGGCTAAGCGGTCTGCTTGGCGCGTGCTCCCAGGTGGCAGGACTGTTGCTGCATTCATAACCCTGCGCGCAAACAACCACGAACGCAAGTCCCTGGGAAACAAGGTGCCGGGAGGGGCGAGCCCGGCCATTACAGCTCTCGCCCCGGACGCAAGAGGCCCAGGTCTTCAGCTCCCACTGCCACTGCCACCGCGCCACGGCTCAGGCATGACCCAGGCCCTCTCCCGCCCCCCTCGTGCAGCTGAGGCCCTGCCCCGCGGAGAGGCAGAGCGAAGAGGGAAGCTCCTGCCTCGTGGACACAAGCCTCCAGGCAAGACCCGATGCCCCAGGACAAGCCTCCCCCGCTCCAGCTTCTGCCCCACATCTCTCTCGACTGCTTCCAACAGAGCACCCAGAAGCGGCCTGCCTCGCGTCTGCCCAGGAGCACGGCGAGTCGAGCGCCGTGCGGGGAAGACCGGCAGGTGTAGCTGCAAGACCCCCTGGACGAGGAGCCTTCGAAGCCGGGTTGCCCAGGCACTACCCTAACCGCTCAGGTCCTGGGGCTAAATCGTGGGAAGCCTTTCTGCTACCTGTAGCTCTGGGCCACCTACATTTCTGGGCCTTTGACACCAGTACGCGTCCACCGGGGAAGCACGCGTATAGCCAAGCACGTGCATAGCCTCCCGTGCGCGCACAGCGCACGCGGCAGCAGACAGCACCCCTGCCTGCACTGAGGTGCCGAAAACGACACTGAGGCACCTGCAAAGCTGGCGCTTGGACGGCTCCAAGGGGTCTGCCCCTCGCCTAGAAAAGCACCCCGTGGGGTGGCAGCAGTAGTAAGCCGAGTGCCCGGAGTGGGCCGTGCACATGTGCAAGGGAAGGAAAGTCACTGCTGTGACCCATGACCTATCCCACACGTTCCCAACTCCCCTTTAAATGGGAGTTTTGTCCAGTCTCTGGGGTTGTGACCCACTGGGTTTGTGCCAGGGGCTTCGCTTGAGGCTGGATCCACAGAAAACACAACTCTGTCCCAGCACCAGGCACGGAGCTCACACTATAGCAGCTCCCTGGGTCCGGGCCCAGTCTGGGGGATGGTCTAGTGGGTTACGGGCAGATGACAAAAGAGCAAAGAGCAGCAAGACCTTCTCAGTCTTGTTTCCCAAGTAAAATGTGTAATATTTGGACAAAGATGATGTATCCCAGGCAGGCGAAGCTATCACAGGTCCTGGCCAGCAGTCCCTTCCCAAGGCGAGGAGTCCTTGCTCGCAAGAGACTTCCCAAAAGAGCTGCTTACATGAATAGGTGCTGCAGTGTCAATGCCATAATGAGCACAATGACTTTTCTCGCTTTCCTCATGATGGTCAGGATTTGATCAGCGTGTGAGCCTGACTCTGCTCTTATTAGGGAAAGTGGCAGCAGCAGGATTTGAGGAGGAAAAAGAAGCAAGTTTAAGGGAGTCAGCATCCAGCAGGATTTCGCGCTTAACTCACGGGAGTCTGCTTTGAAAATCCCAGCCAAAAATGCTCGTTGCGGGTCTGAACTGAGGGAGACCAACACCACGTGCTTTCTAAGTGCTCATCTCCGCCTGTCCCTAAACAACACCGTCCTCCATCCAGTGCAATTACAATTCTTGCGGAGAAGGAAGGAACCCGTACGGCTGTTTCCATTGATTTTGTACTCGCCAGCAAAGCATCCTCTTGCCCACAACCAGGTGGCACGTTTCTATACATCTTCTGCAAATAAATAAGGCGATAACAGACCATGGACAATAAAGTACTGAGCCTGCTGGGTAGATATGCTGCATGGTAGCCAAAGGGCACAATGCCTGCTATAAGATTGCCTACTCTGAGTTTTTCTTTGCTCACAGATTGCTGACACAGTCAATTTTTTCTCCAAATTTTGAATAAAGAAGTCATGTGCTTTTGTTCAGAAGTGCTCCATCTGAAGGGCTTTCCACAGCCCTGTTTAAAGAGCACAGTTCACTGCTTTCATGTTGTAAGAGGCTGCTTGCATTGCAATAAGGAGACATTTTAATAAATTACTATGGAAAAGACACAAACGTGTGGAACGCCAAGGAATAGCTGGCACCGTCTACAGTCAGAGGAACGGGGCATTACTGCTGCTGATCAAAAGTGCTCCAGTTTCTCCTGTATACAGCCTAATCACAATGACATAAGAGCTGCCATTTACTGGGTCAGACCATATAGGTCCGTCTTGCCCAGGCTCCTGTCTCAGCGGCAGAGAGCAGACGCTGGAGCGGGAGCGACCAGAGTCTGACCGGGGCTTTCTCCGCTCTTCCTCTCACTTGCAGCCTCGAGTTTGCCGCAGAGACACTGATCTCCTCTAGCTCTCGCAGGTGGAGAAAAATGCTCTCTCCCTACCTGTGCGAGCAAAAAGATGGAGTCCAGCCAGCACAGTCTCTGCGCCCAGGCTAGCTCTGCTTCTCCAGACCGCGGCGTCTCGAGTGCCTGTTCGGAGGTGCACACATGGGCTACGCTCCTCTTCTAACCCACGAGAGAAACCCGGGGCCTCGGGGGACGCCAGGATGGGTTGGGCGCGTGCAGAGCAGGAAGGCACGGGCGGGACGTGCCTTTGGGCAGTGCTTGCAGCACAGCGCAACACAGACGAGCCCCTCGGCGGTTTGGAAAATGGGACTGAAGTTTCTAGTTAATTTGGGAGCTTTTGTAGATGTTACCTTGGGAGTCTGGTAGCCCTGCCCCCTGGGTGCACATACCCTGCGGCAAAGTGGGGTAAAATCCCGGCGCGCGCATCAGGCAGTGTTTCACGCACACTTTGCCGTGGGGTTAGAGACTGCCCAGCCTGCAGACGATGGAGAATTTAGTCCTCCCTTTCATCACAGCGTCTTACAGAGGCCTGTGCTTCTGGGGGAGTGTTTCTTAACCAGGGTGCCGCAGCACCCTGGGGTGCCTTGAGATCCTTTCCAGGGTGCTGTAGGGTGCCCCACAGTCAGGTTTTCAAACACGATTCACAAGATAAGCCCAGAGATTTCAACAGAAGTCCACAGTTGCATCTTCCTGATTCTTTGCACCACGAAAACACTGCTCCACTGTTTTTCTATAGGCAAAAAAAGAGTGAAAACTAGGAGCTGGTGTTTTCCGAGGGCGCCTCGAGTCTAAAAAGGCCGAGAACCAGGCGGCGGAAGTGCTGGAAGCTGGACTCACAAGTAAGTGCCTCGTCTCTGGAAGTCAGGGGGCAGCGGGACATGTGGGGGCTTCCTCCTCGGTGTCTGGGTCCTGGGGCAGTTGGCAACAAGCAGCAGGATCCCTGCGGCGCAGGTGCAGAGGGTGCCGGCCACCGCCATCCAGTAGGAATAGCCCAGTTCATAGGTCACCCCAGGGATCCCAAAACTGACCTGAAAGAGAAGGCAGACGGTCAGGTTCACGGCCCGGGGCAGTGCTAGACGTAAGCACCTGCGCGCATTTTCGATTCATATATCACAGTTACGGCACTAACTGGTCCTTCGATGAGTTTTCCTCTCAGTGCAATGCTGCAAGTCATCGGCCTCAAGCCACTGCCTGTCTCGGGGCCATAATAGTCTCCCACTCCCAGGTTCAGAGTGGGCTGCAGGTCGCAGTCACCTGTGTTACCTGCTGTGCTTACCGCCACGGGTCTGTATATTCCCTGCAAAGCTCTTCTCTACCTGAGACCAGTAACAGTGATAACCACTGATCAAAGAGCCATCTTCAACCATTATATTCATTATCTGGAGCCGAAGAGAAACGTTCTGCCACGGGATGCCACGGCACACGTGGTGAGACAGACAGGCTGAAGAGTGCGGTATGAGCCACTCCCAGAGACAAGGATGGGTAGGTGAGACCCCTGCTTTGTGCTAGTCTGCTTGCACCTCTGTTCAAAGGTTTCAAATACATCATCGTTAACTGTGAACACCAAACACAGCATAAAACACCTTCCACGTCACAGAGCGCAAAGGTCCAGATCCCCAGTGCTGTCCAGGTGCCTCACCGCCTTCTTGAAACCAAGGAGAGCCAGGTGCCGAACTACTTCCAGGGGCATCAGCCCACGAGCTGAATCAAGTCCGTTTAACTCCTTCTCTCAGAAATGAACATTGCAGACCTTCCTTGGCGGGGGAAAGGGCTTGCTTTAAGGAGTCTGCCACAAAAAGCAGTGATTTTAAAGTAACACCTTTTCTGAGCATCCTTGCAAGCGCACATCTCATGGCTTCCTCCAAGCGCAACACTCACCTCCAGCCTGTACTTCTGCACGGTGTCCACCGCGTACCAGAGAACAGCCGCTGTGCCCGCCAGGCCTGCAAGAGAAGGGAGGCGTTGCGCTCCGGGCAGTGGCCTCGCACTGCTAGGAGGACCCGGGGTGATGCTTTGCATTTCTGCCCGGACAGGAATGCAGTCTAAAAGGGGAGATTTTCCTGAAGTGTAAGCTACCATCACCTGTAATCGTGTCCTTGCAGACTCCAAGTCCAACACTGTCCTGGGCCAGGTCTCAGTTCAGACTGGGTGCAATTCTGGGTATTATTGCTCCCAGGGCAGATCAAAGTTAAAGGCTGGGGAGAAAGGCAGGAGAATGAAAATAGCCCCTTTTGCGCCAGAGCAGGGAAAGACTGGGAGAAGGAGCGAGGCCGTCGATGGGTCTCTCTAGCGGCGGCACGAGGTGACACCTGGTCCTGCTGACACAACAGCTGCTTTGCCTCTGGCTGCTGTAGCGGCAGGACCTCACCCAGTGTCACGAGGTATTGGTAAAACACTGCCCGGGGGCTTCTGCAGGGAGACGGGGGCACAGGGCACTTTGGAGCATGACCGCTGGGCAGCCTGTGGGGCGCCAAGAAGCCCGTGCCTTCTACCCCACAGCCATGGAAGAGAAGCAGGCCAGGCTGAGCACTCCTGAAACCCCCTACCCCTAGAGAGATGTTCAAGTGCAAGTGCCGCCAAAGGCCTCGTGCAGCCTTGGAGAGAAGCTCTGGAGGACTGCAGGTGCAGGCCGAGGACTGGCTATACCGTACTGGCTGTGAGTAAGGACATAGGTTTTACCTCCGAGAAGGAAGAGGGTCCCCGCAGCAAGGGTGAACTTGTATTTCTGACGGACGTTGCCCCTCATCAGGTGAGTGCACCTCATGCCCACAATGAGGGAGGGCATCGCCCCAATGCACAGGAGGCTGGTCACAATCACCAGAGCACGAGTGGTCACCAGGACAGCTGGAAAGACAGAAGTGGCACAGTGTGAAGACACTGAAAACTAACCTGTGAGCACCAGGCCGATGCCAGCATCAGCAGCGCTGGCATCGGTGGTGACCTTGCAGGCCGATGTAGCGAACACGCAAGGAGAGCTAAGCCTTGCGTTCCAGCGGGACACTGGTCCTTCCCCAGGAGAGCAGGGCTGTCCCGCGGGTCCGATCCGGGCATGAGGCTCCTTATGGCTGGACCCAGACCCTCCTCCTGCGGCAGGGCAAGCACAGCGGCCACGTTGGCTCAGGCAGCTGCAGGCGTTAACACAGCTCACTTGCAGCGCCGGCACCGACGCAAGCCCCCAGCCGGACTCCGTACCCCCGAATGCAGTGGTAGGCCCCACCCCCGTGCCCCTGACCCCCAAATTCCTGGCCCGCAGGACACGTTTGATAGTGATACCCCCGCCACGAAGCAAGCGTGGCATCCCAGTTCAGACACGGCCTTCCCTTTGCCTCACGGCAGTTTCACCTCTCGAGCTGCAACTTCCATCTCCAGCGAAGACTTAAAACAACGCAGCGCCCAACACAAGCACAGTCCGCCAGAGCGAGAGCAGAGCGGCAGGCAGGAGTGGGTGGGCCGTCCCAAGCACTGGCAGCGGGACAGGTGCAACTCAGAGTCCTCCCTGCAGAGCTTTGCCCAGCCTGGCCCTTGAGACCCCGTATCGGGCGTTATGTTAGAGCCGTTCTTCTCATGAAAAGCAGACCCTGCACATAACATGTGCCTGCCTGGGTGTCTTGGCTGACACGTGCCGCAGAGCTAGGGACCTTCTGAGCAAAATGCACCCACAGCCACGAATCAGACTAAGCAGCAGGCCTGCAGCTAGAGAGGAGACTTGTTCTCAGCAGCAGGAAAGGAGCTCGTGCATTATTAGCATTTCAGCTCCTGCAGTGCCTAAGGGGTCAGAGGACTGCAGCGCTGGGGGCTGCGCGCACCGGGCGTGGAAGGCAGTTCTTGCTACAAAGACGTTTCAGAGGTGTTTGGAGCATGCCTCGGAGACCCGCTCCCCTCAATAAAAGCCCTGCCTGCAGGAGGGGGCATTCCTTACGTTGCACGTTCGGTGCCACGCGGGCTCACCGCACCACGCCGAGTCCAGCCCTTTACTCACCGGGGCGCTGGCTGAGATAGGAGGTGGGGATGTCGCATGTCCAGAGCCTGGCCACGTTGTCAAACACGCACTCGCTCCAGAGCCCGCGGCACCGGGAGCTCAGGCCCACGGACGAATGGGGATCTTTGGCATCTTCCTGCAGAAGAGAAGGAAAAACCACCTTATTCAAGGGCAGGGAACCATCCCCTCCTCCTGGCGCTCGTGGGAGCGGGATCGAGCAGCCTATAGATTTTGTTTGCTGTGAAATGAAACATTTCATTTGTTGCTATGGCCTTCAAATGAGTTGGTTTTTTTAAGTAACGGTGAAGTGAATGTGAAATTAAAACATCACTTGGAATTGGAAAAACACGACACCTTTTTCTTGACAGTTTTGTGTTTTGATTAAAACCAAAAAAGTGACCAAAGCAATTCAAGACCCCGCTATAAATTGGTGAAATGCTTCAGTCCACTTGCCTAAGCTTTTCCACCTAAAGGGGTTTCAGACAAATACCGTCTAGTAAAATATTTCAGCATCTCGGCTCTAGCGAGGTCCCGGGATGAGGCACAGGACGGGCGGGCAGTGCATCGGGGTTGAACGGTGCGGGCTAGCAGCACGTGGCAGCGTGCGGGCACCGAGGAGCGAGTGCTGATGTCCCCTGAGGCGGCATCTGCGCACCGTTCTGGTGGCTTTGCCGCGTGCCTGGAGCCCCTCCGGCCGGCCGCGGGCTGTCTGACACCCGCCAGCGCTGCGCGCACAGCGGACGGCCTGGACGTGCCGACAAGCCACTTCCACCCCGGGACCGCCCGAGGCGGGAAGCCGCGTGGTCGCTGTCCCACTGAAGTTGACGGGCGTTTTGCACGGACTTCAGTAGGGCCAGGCTCCCGGCCGCGGGGTTTTCCGTTACGGGACATGGGTGGCAGGGGGCGAGAGCCTCCCACGAGCAGCTGCTGGGGGCTCCAGGGCTCAGGAACGTCATTTGTCCCAGAAAGTCTCTTCCCGAGGCAGCCGGAGGGTCGGTGACCTTTCCAGTCGCTGGAACCTCAGCAACAGCTTAACAAGCATGAATGTCCCCAGCTGCCTCCAGCTGCCGGCTTTTGCCACGGCCCAGTGTTGTTATGACGACTATTTTCTCACTTTCACAACGGGGCAACGAAGCCAAGTCCTGGCAGCTCCTCAACAGGATCCCTCCCGAGAAGCAAAGGGCACGCACGGCCTGGGACCCAGGCAGCGCCGCACCTAGGCGGCCCTGGGCGAGCTTTCAGTATCGGGCCCCTCTTCGACCGAGATCATGATAATAATAATAATCAAAATTACCGTGTTGGGGCCCCCCTTCAGTCTGGGCCCCAGGCAGCCGCCCGGTTCGCCCGTGCCTGTGTCCGGCCCTGGACCCGGGACGTGGCAGGGCAAGTCACTCTCCCTCCCAGCCTCTGCTCACCGCTGCCGTGACGGCGCTGGGCAAGACGGACCGCTATGGCCTGCCCCAGGAAATGGCAGCTCTTACCTGCTTACCAGTGCAACTTCAGCCAAGGCCTCGCAAGTCCAGAGGTTTTTAGGACAGAAGCAGAATTGGTCAAAAATTAGGATTTCCCCCCCCTCT